ACACACACACACACACCCCCCTAGTTTATACGATATATATATATATATATATATATATATATATATATATATATATATATATATATATATATATATATATATTTACAATATTCTATAAATTCTACCGAATGTTTGGCGTTAATATGTTTGTAGTTCGTTTTTTCGATTTTTCTCACTAAAGTTTTTTGGTGAACGTTTAGATAATATATGAATTTAATTGCCCCTTTGACGGCTGTGCACGTCAACATGACTCATATATCGGGATTACTACTACCTCACTGACTAGAAGGCTTACGATGCATAAACAGAGTGGTGCTATCAAATCTCACTTGGACTCAACACACTCAATCACAATTAGCCGTGAAATCCTCGACAACAACACCAAAGTAATATTCCAGAACAGCAACTACACGCATCTTAAAATTGCAGAAGCAGTCCTAATCGACATCAATAAACCAAAAATAAATATACAACAAAAAATGACAACCTCACTTCCAACCCGGCGCTTAACCAACAACGAAAACAAAGAAGTAATAAAAACTAGCATCGTAAATAGTGACAAAGAAGAATATGACGCTATCGATGAAGAAAATGAGACCAAAGAAGACGACCAGCCAATTAAGAAACCTGACACCTAATTCGCATCAAAGTTCAATTTTACAACACCAAAGTTAATTTTTACAACGTCAAAGTTCATCTTGACAAAGTCAATATTTCCCTATATATACAGCAAGGAGCACTGATGATGATTCATTCGGAATCGAAATATGGCCGTATTTGCAGCATGAATTCGAAAAAAAAGTTATTTTGAATTTTAATAAACTAAACGTTCACCAAAAAACTTTAGTGAGAAAAATCGAAAAAACGAACTACAAACATATTAACGCCAAACATTCGGTAGAATTTATAGAATATTGTAAAAATTATGGTCTATTACCAACATATATATATATATATATATATATATATATATATATATATATTTATATATATATATATATATATATATATAAAGTAAGAGAGAGAGAGAGAGAGAGAGAGAGAGAGAGAGAGAGAGAATGAGACAAGGGGTATGCGTAAAAAATAACGTTTCAATAAATAGATAAAAATATACAATACACATACACGCACACACACACACAAACAAACTCACACACACATACACACACACACACACATATATATATATATATATATATATATATATATAACTCTTGTATTAAAAGAAGAATGCAAGCTTTTGAAATGCATAATGAGAACAACTAATTTTATTTCGTTGTTGTTGTTGTTGCTGCTGTAATTATTATTATATTGTTGTTCGTTGATGATGGTTGTGATGATGATGATGATGATCGTCATCATAGTTAACAAGATTAACAGTCTGACATACTTAAAATACATTGACAGAAATGACATGAATGTTTATTGTACTGCGTATATATGATGGTAGTATGTATGTATGCGTGTATGTATGTATGTTTGTTTGTTTGTATGTATGTGTGTCTGTGTCTCTTTATTTGTACATGTTTTTATTTGAGATTTTAGTAAGAAAAGAAAAACACAACAGTTGCTTTTATTTGACATCATCAAAAGATGAAAAGTGACGAAAAATTAAAATTTTTTAAATGTCAATTTTTTAAAAAGTTCAGATTTTAAACAAACAAATATAACAAAACATCGATCGATAAAAAATAATTATCTCGAAACATGAATATTTAGTAAGGACAGTTCACAGCATATCATAATGACTAAATCAACATACCAAACAGAAATTATTCATGCATGCATATATACAAAGTAAATCAGGAAATATCCAAAAATTATATAACCAAAATAAGAAACTAGAAACCAGTCAACATTTTACAAATAAATAGACATTATTAAAAAAATTGTTCAAAAATTGTAAAATTGTAGTTTGTTTTGTTGGTGTTGTGTGGTGCTAAGAAGCGAAAACAAAAACACCACAAAAAAATTATTAAAAAGTCGCAAGAATAGTAGTCAGTCACCTACCTACAATTAAATTACTCTCAGGGCCCTAGCTTACCTGTAATGATAACTCAACTCATTTATTTTACATATTTTAACGTTTTAATTTTACTTGAAGCTTTTTAATTTATTTTAATGTTAATATTTTACTTGGAGCTTTTTAACTAATGTTAAGCCCTAGCCTACCTACAGTTGTTCAACTCATCTCAATCCCTAACTTACCTATGAATTAAATTAAGTCCGGT